TTATGACCAGCTCTGGGTTGTTTATCAGACATGCTCTTGCATAGTAGTTGTTTCCCATTGTCAAGTAGGCCAAATTATTCAGTGTTTAACTTTTAAGCAAGTAATTCTCCATGCCATGTACTTACAATATTCTTATATGTGTAATTTATTGCCCAATGTATTTACTGAGAAGTTCTTTCTTATTATGACCAAGAATAAAAAAAAGGGATGTTCAATCTTCAGCCCACGGTGTGAGGCACAAAGAATCTTCAGCCCCACAGGGCGAGGCCCTTTTCTTAGCTGCTTGCCAGTGTCTTACCTGGCTGGGGCAACAAGGCCACCTGCAGCATCCTGGTATGTGCATGAAATATGCTTTCAGAAGTCAATTACACTACACTGCTCAACTTATAAAACTCTTCATACGTCATGTCCAAATCATGTGTTAAGACTAGAATGGCACATGTGTAACCAGTGATGGACCCGCACATCATGGGTGTTGGACAAATGTATATTGACATGTGTCATCATGAGAATGTCATGCAGAGTATTTTCACTGCCCACAATGTCTTCTATGCTCCAAGGAAACAAAAGCAAAAAGAAACCAATAGAATCACATCAAACTAAAAAGCTTCTACATAGTGAAGGAAAATATCATTAAAATGAAAAGACAATATCGAGTTGGAGAAAATATTTGCACATCATATATCCAACAAGGAGTTAATATTTAAAGAACTCCAAAACAAGAAAGCAACCAAATTACAAAAGGGGCAGAGGCGCTAAATAGGCCTTTTCTAAAGAAACACACATGTGGCCAAAGTACATGGATAAGTTTATCATCATGTGCTGTCAGGAAAATGCCAATCAAAACACAATAAGTTACCACTTTAGACCTGTGACAATGACCCGTTGAAGGGTCTGAAGGAAAAGGAACTCTGGTACATGGTGGGTGGGGATGGAGACTGGTCCTGTTAGTGGGCAGAAGGAGAGGTTCCCCGGACCCCCAAACCTGCACACTCTACATGGGTTCTGTCATCAGCTGCATAAAGACAAAACATACTATAATTTGTAAGACTTTCAATGGAAAAGAACTTTAATACAATTTGTGTGTAATAGAGAATGAGAACAATAGCGAAAGACAAGAGAAAGAATATAGTTAAAATAGTTCCCACATGAATCAATTAGTTACCCGTCCCCTCATGGGTAAATTCCCAGCCAAACAGGCTTGGCCCAAAGCAGGCCCACAGAGGCCCAAAGGCCTGCCACAAGGCTAAGGCACCTACTGGTAGAGACCCATGGGGAAGGGGCAGGAGGGGCCAGGCAAGTCTGGAAGGACAAGAGCAAAATCAAAATCCACATCAAGATAACAGCTGCCATTGTCAGCCTCCCCAGGGGTCCCTCACTCACATCTTTGTCTCTTTCAAGTGTCTCTTTCCATGTCCCAACGCCCTGGCACAAGTCCAAGCCTGAGGAGCAAGCCTGGCTTCTTCTTCACATGTCTTTCTTTCTGTTCCCTGTGCCTCCTCCAGTCTTCTTTCCCCATCTTGATCCACATCTTCCTCCTCTTCCTTAGCTTCTCATCCCTGCTCAGCTCCACCTTTCCTTGGGCGGGACAGCACACCTGGAACCTCCCTTTTCTATGGATACCACACAGGTACAGTCCTGCCCCTGTGGAGAACAAATGAAGTTTCCTCAAAATATTCATAATAGACCTGCCCCATGGTCAAGCATCTCATTCCTTGGTATTTATCCAAAGAAGGTAAAACACTAATTCTGAGGAATATGCACCTCCTATGGTCACGGCAGCACTGTCTACCATAACCAAGCGATGGAGACAACCTAAGTGCCCAACATCCGATGAGGGGGTAAAGAACACAAGTGGAATACTACTTATGGAATATAAGTATATTCTGCTGTGGAATATACACAGTGGAATACTACTGAGCTGTGAAAAAGATGAAATATTGAATTTGCAACAACATGGATAGATATGGATGGGATTATGCTAAGTGAAATAAGTTTGAAGGAGAAAGTTAAATACTGGATGCTTTCATTCATATGTGGAATATAAGGAAACACAGCAAGGACAGATGAAACTAAACCAAAACAATCTAGAAATATAACTGCAGAATTGAAGCTATGAGGTGGGGGTGAGAGCAGGAAGCAAGGTAGGAACAGGACCCAATGGGCTATGGTAGAGGACTACGGGTGCCCTTAAGTGGGTGGGAAGTGATAATGAACATCTGAAGAGGTGTGAACCTGCGCCTCTAACACATACAGTGTGTAAACCACACTGTGGTCTTGCCTCAACTGAATAATACAATGAGGGGAAAAAGAAAAGTTCTTAAGCAAAAGGAAAAAAGTAAATTATCTTCTCCATCCATCACTGACCTCAGGACTTTGCCTTCGCCTCCTCACTGTCATGCCAGGTGAGGGGCTGGTTTCACACAGGGTGAGAGGCAGAAGGTGCAGGAACTCCTGGGGCTGCTAAGACACCGCCGAGTAGAGACACTGCAGAGAGGGCAGCTCTGAGGGGACCAGAGACAGAGGGTCAGAGTAACCTCCAGTGCTGAGTGAGGGTCTGGTTCCCAAGGAGAGGGGAGTGTGTGTGTGTGTGTGTGTGTGTGTGTGTGTGTAACAGGAACGACAGGATACACAACATAAGGTGATGGGAAGTCAACTAACATCAAGCCCCAGAATAAATGAATTCAAGTTGCACACAGAGTAAAGAGTGTCAGAACAACACCTCAGTAAATACAGTTCCAAGGAGAAGCAGTTTTTGAGCAGGACTGAAAAAACATTGGACCTGAAGAAGAGGAGGAGGTTTAGAAATATCTCATGGTTGGCTTGAGGTGTAAGGAGCTGGGCAGGATGCCTGCCCCAGGGCCCTACTAGGATGTGGTGGCACCTTTACCCCTGATAACTCCCTCCCCCAAACCCCAACATTCTTCTCCTTTGGAGTCCCCATAGAAAACCCACAGGCCTCAGGATCAGGGAGCACCATGGGCTGCAGCTTCTTTCTCTCTAAAGCAGAGCTGGAGGGAGTCCCACATGGGAGAGAAGAGTGTGTCTCCTGCTGCTCTGGCCCAGGGGCAGGATTAGCCCAGGTCACACCAGTTACTGGGTGAGCTTTTGTCTGAGGTTTAGGAAGGGAGCGGGAGATGGAGCAGGTTCCACCTCAGCTCCTGGAGGAAGGTGTAACGTTTGAGGGGGTGAATTGTTTCTTTTTCATTCTGGGGCTCTCCCATCTCCCCAGGGTAACCCTCCATGTGCAGCAGGGAGAGGATCTCAGGTCAAACAGAGCTTGGTTCCCCCAAGTCTCTCCCTACTATAGTGTTCAGGATGAATCTCCTTGTATTCATGGCCACCCTGAGGAGAGCACAGAAATGTAAGCATCATTACGGTGTTTGCTACTCGGATTGGAGGTAAGATTTTTACTTATAAAAGTTCTTTCATTTTTGTTGTTGCTGTAACAATGCTGTGCAATCACACTCACATACCAAAAAAAAAAAAAAAAAAACAGAGAGGGAGAAATTGAGTTTTCATGATGTAAACAAACAAACAAAAAATGGAGAAAAAGCCAACAATGAAAATAAGACAAACATTTGCATGGATTTTTCAGTTTAACCCATGACACCCTGTGAGTTGTCAGATCCCATGATCCCAGCGTAGCTAATGACTGTGGGAGTGAGACTCAGAAACACAGCCCAGGTCACAGTTGGGGGACCCAGGGCTCTGACCCATCCAGGGCCCCCCTGCTGTGGCAGCAGCAGTGAGGAAGGGTCTCTGAGCTGAGGAGGCTGAGGTCTCAGTGTGGTCAAATCCACCGGAAACATCCAGTGGGTCCTCTTAGTGATGGGCGCCTCACTATCTGCCCAACCATCTTAATACTGATAAGTCGAATTTTAAAAATTCCTCCTGATGTTGCTCTGGTGATGGAGGCAGGCGACGTGGGAGAGAAAGTGGAGGTGATGCCAGGCCCTGGGAGCCCTCCCTGCATGGTGTGGGGAGCAGAGAAGGCAGGTGAGGGTTCGTGTTGAGAAAGGCCTGGGGCGCCGTGGGGAGCAGAGACTGGAGAGGGGGAGAGTGTGTGGGGCAGGGAGGAGGCTCCTGCGGCCTGACCAGGGCAGGTGTGGTCACCACCTCCCTGAGCGTCTCCTCTGCCCTCCATTTGTTCCCCTTCCTCACCCACCTTGAGGGACAGTCATGACCTCGGGGCCACGACTGGACCCTCCTGGCAGAGGTGCCCTGCAACATATGCCTGGAGACAGGGGCCCAGGGAACATCTCCTGTGGCCACAGCTTCTGCCAGGCCTGTCAAAGCTGAGTCACTCTCAGACCCATCAAGGGGCCACATGCTGTCCACACTGCCAGGAGCCACCCAAGAGGGAACAGCAGCCCCAGTGGGCTTGTCTTCTGGTGACAGATTTTCCTCTGGGGGTAGAATTGGCCAGTGGTCATTTTCCAGTAGCTACATTAAATGAGGATCCCTGCAACCTTGTGCAATCAGTGGGGTGTGACGGGCTTTGCTGAGGCCCGTTTGGCAGCACGGTTTGATACAAGCCACCAGGAGAGAGGCCCATGGTGTGCCAGGCCCCAAGGTCAGCGTGCATTCTGTGGGCATCCCTAAGCCCTGGCAGCGTTGACCTGGGCTGTGCTGTGGCAGGTGGGAAACCGGCCTGGTGGGCTATGATAGAGGGGTACCTTAGTGCTCAGGTGAGTATCTGGCCCTGCTGAAGCCCACTCCCACTGTGATCCCTGATGCCGTGGGGAGAGGGGACCTTACTATATGCAGCCTGTGGACCCACCTAGTGGGCTCTGAGTGAC